TGTATATTGATTACCTAAGGCACAGTCATTTACCATTTTTCCACTTGCCTTCAACAGGACGCCTAGTTCTCTGGTGGAAACAAATTTTTTTTTCTTATCTTCCTGACAAATTCTGTTGACAGTAGTGCTCTAATGGAGATTTATCTCTGGATTCATGAAGACTAATATCTCAATAGTTCACCTGGAAAAAACATTTGCCAGAAGCCCTCTCCAGGCTCCATGCTGTCACTAGCACAAAGCTGCTCTGCTGAGCAGTAATTGGAGCTGACAATGATTTTGTTACCGGGGAAGAGAATTGTGCACCAAGTTCCAGTATGGATCAACCTTTCACAATGAGGTCTTTCCACCTGCTGTTGAAGATGACATGGACTTTTTCTCTATTGCTTTCCCCCAATATAGAGATTTGAAACAACATTTTTCATGGGAGAGGTCTCCCATTCTGCCCTTCATTGTGCCCACCAGGGCATGTCCATGGTGTCCCCAGAGAGGCCTTCTCCTGCAAGTCCCAGATAAAAGCTCAAATTGCTTTCAGTCATCTGGATCCTCACTTCTGCATGTCAAAATGAGGCTCCTCGCTCAGTTCTTGGTGCTGCTAATGCTGTACATATCTGATAAGGATGGAGGGAGAAAAGGAAGGAGAGCAATTGAGAGCGATGGGGTCCCACTGTTTCCTGTGTTGTTCCCTCCACATGAGAGACTGCAGCTTTTCTTGACAGGATGAGAACAAGAGCTTGAGGTCTGTGTGAATGAAGAAGATTCCACTGGAGTCGGGACTATGGTGAGGTGACCATGTCACAAAGAAAGAAAAGGATGATGCACATTAATTCTCAAGAAGGGTTCTAATCCTCAGTACTTTATTGTAATTGAACACATTTAGTATATATGAAAATCACAAAAAAATTTGTGCAAGGTACACATGAAGCTCCCATGGTGCTACAGCTTGGAACACAAACTTCCCTGCCTGGGGAGGCCCAGCTGCCCTCCTGCACTTCTGTCTGGGGAACAGCACAGTACAGATTGCTCTGTGTGAGAGGAAGAGTTTGGAGAATCAGAACAACAAGGTGCAGCTCCTCTGACCAGAAGAGAGATTGAGGAAGACAGCTGAGCAAAAAGAACCAGTGACAAGGAAGAGAAAGAGATGAACACTCTTCACCTCAAGGTCTTCATGCAGGATATTGATCCCCCAGATGCTGTAGTGAAAGTAGACAGATGACTATATTTTAAAGGCAAAACAAATGAACTGCGTTGTCTTTCTGGATGTGATGTGTGAGAACAAGGTGAAATTCAGGATGCCTGTTCCATTGGTTTGAAACTGAACAACCAGAGAATTTCAAACCATATATTGTGAGAACAGGAGAGTTGAAGGGAAGCAACAGTGAGCAGCAGGGGAGACTTAGGATATATGAGGGCGCAGATTAGAATTGTGAGGAGTTCCCAGCCTCCAGCTTGCACTATCCTAACCCAGAGGCACAGGAGGGATTCTGGAGATCAGGGAACTACACTGAGCTAGGAGGACCAATTCCAAAGGACAAGGTGAGCGAAACAAATGAAAGCAGACTGAGACCAGGATGGTAGCCCAGTGTGCAATGCAAAGAGATGAAGACAGATCCACAGGGGAGGTCAAGAAGAAATGGCTACTAAGATAAAGAAAAAAAAAATTAGAAAAGAAGTCAGAGAGATTAATGCCCCAGGGCAAAAATAACATTAATGGAACCATTTTTCACTTTGCAATTGTAAACTTAACCTATATTACACTCCAAGGAAATTTCCCCCTGGGTCTGATTGCTACAAAATGTGCCAATTTCACTTGTAGGGTCACAGCCAGATACTGAAAGTTTCACCTACAGTACGTGAATGTGCATGTGGTGCCCTCTTCTGGTCAGCTTCATGCACTGAAAGTTTCTAGGGACATTGTTCAATCACTTTCAAACTAAGATTTGTTGCACTATTTTGCTTACAACACTATGCTCTGGTTCAACTACTGCAGAAGTGTCACAGGTATCTCAGGAAGTTTTAGGCATTTAATCTGTTCATTATTTGCCTTTTAGTTACAGAAAACAGGCTCATACAGAACACTAGTGAAACATCATTTCCCTCCTCCTCCTAAAGTGATCCAGTGCTCTTGCAGTCATTAGAATTAACACTCGCACACATCCCCGCGCCAGCTAAACACAGCACACAAGCCATTCTCCACCTTTCAGAAATCAAGTGTCTTGGACTCTAACGACCTTGCAATACACACATGCAATGTGGCTATCAACCCAGCCACTGATCAGAACTGGTGACAGAAACACTACCAGCATCATGAATCAAATAATCTTACCAATATCATATTGCCACAATATCACACGACCCTTATTGACATTTATTTGTTCACAAGGAAGATCTTGTTTTTGAAAGGTTTGGCCCAGACAGGACACTGTAGCCAGGAAAGCCACAACCGGAAGCAGGAAGCCCCATCTTGCCCTGCCCCTAGGAAGTTACCTGTGACGCCATCTTCCCGCCCCTGGGAATTTACATATGGTGCCAAACCTAGGACCAATGGGCTACCTGTGTATCCCTAATGCCCGCCTTAGGTTCCACCCCAAACCGAGGTTCTTTACAGGCCCCCAAGCCGCGTGTCCGCCGGAGAGATCGCCGGACGCCAGCGGTGGGGTTGCCGGTCATCTCTCTCCGTGTTCTCAGAATAAAGGCCGCTTTTTATTTTATATTTCTCATCTTTTGTTAATATTTTTCATCTTTTGGAAATAACTCTATCATTTGTTGCCGTGACTCGATCGGCAGGCAACTAACTCTTGGGCCACATACCCAGAGTTTCCTCGCCGATAACCAGATACCATCCTGGATTAATCCCGAGCTTTTTCCTCTCCCGAGACGTTCCTGTCGCCAGCCGCCTGCACTCCGCATCGGCCAGACTGATTTCAGGTGAGCACTCCCCGGGGAACTTTTCGCACTGGGCAGCCCCAGTGGAATGTTCTCCCCGTCTGCGTGGGTCTGTGCATTTTCACGTCCTTAGGACCGCCCAGGGCAGGGTTCTTTCTGGGCAAACCTGCGCCCACAAAATCTCTCACATTCTTTGGGTTCGGATAGCCCAAAGCAGAGATTTTTGGGACCGCCCACACTGAAAGAATGCCTCACTTCCCTTAAAGCCTTGCGCTTTCACGGGCAAAACTGTTACTGACCCCACGTAGACTCCATTCGTAAATCTCTCAGTGACGACTGGAGTTTATGGTTTGGAACCGTAGCCGCCGCGTGGTACCACAAATAAGTGACGACTTTTTTCTGGACCTCCGGTTTTTTTCTTGCCTGAATCAGTCATGGGGAACGTATTTTCTAACACCCAAAAGACACCTTTAAAATGCCTAATTTCCAATTTACGTACTCTAAAAATTAAAGGTACCATAAAAACTAAACAACTAACTTTTTACTGCCAGGAGGTCTGGCCAACCTACCCGCTTATCGGCAAGCCTTGGCCTCAGCAAGGAACATTTGACCCCTGCATTCTCAGGAACTTGTACGATTTTTGTCAAGCTGGCAACAAGTTATTAGAACTCCCTTATGTCCAAGCCTTTCTTATTCTGAGAACACGCCCATCTCTCATTAAGTCTTGTGCTCCCGCTGAGATACTTTTAGCTAAGTCTACTGTGCCGCAAACTTTTCCTTCCTGCCATCCGTTTTCCCGGCCACCGCCTGCCTACCACCAAACTCGTTCCCTGCCGTTACCTCCCGCCGGGCCACTCTCTCCTCCCCCTATGCCTGATTCTCCCAGCAGCTCTAATCCCTCTCTGTCGCAGATACCTCCCACTGTGCGATCGGCTCCCTCTCTGCCTTCCGGGACCCATAACTCTCCCAGCAGCTCTAATCCCTCTGTTAGCGCTTCCTCGCAGTCTCCGACTTCCTCTCCTGAGAATTCTGTATCCCCTACAGCATTCTCACCCTCTGCCCACCATACTAGGTCTCGGTCGCTATATCCTTCCAGCAGGTCGCGTGATTGTTCCAGCTTGCGCAGGGAACAGTCGCCATGTTGCAACCCTCTGCCACGTGGCATGGCGCCGCCATGTTCCGGAGGGCCACATGGCGACAGGGCGCCGCCATGTTTCGGGTCACATGATAGGGCGCCGCCATGTTCCCAGGCACCGCCATGTTTCGGGCCACGTGACAGGGCGCCGCCATATTCCCAGGCGCCGCCATGTTTTGGGTCACGTGACAGGGCGCCGCCATGTTTCCAGGGCCCTCACTGTCAACAGGCGTCTCCTTGTGGCTCCTCTTGTGAACTACAACAGCCGCCCTGTTGCAGTGCACATGATGCTTCATTGTGCTGCCGACAGCAGTCCTCTAGCTGCAAGGCACACAGTGAGACGCCATCTGCTCATGTTTCCCAGGGTGACCGGCAGCAGCTCTGTAGCCGCTCTACAGATGATTGCTCACATGCGCCTACCGGAAGGATGGCTGCTCAGTGGCCCTCTGCTCCGGAATCTCCTCAGGCTCTGCTACCGCTTCGGGAACAAGCTGGCCCCGAGGGACTTGTTAACATCCATGTGCCTTTTTCCCTTTCTGATCTATCCCAGACTGTCCATAAATTAGGTAGCTTTTCTGTTGACCCACAGAATTATATCAGGCAATTTGAATTCATTACTAATTGTTATGATTTACATTTTAAGGACGTTTATAATGACTCTGGGCCTATATCTGTGCCAGAGCAGGACAAGCATACTAACTATAACAAACTTTTAAAACAGGTCCAGGAGGCTAATCAAAACCCAGCTGTGTTCCTAAATTGGCTTTCTAATCCTCACGCCCTGCAAGCAGTTCCAGCTTCGCGCGCTGTGTCGGGCCGCCTCCCAGCCCCTCCCCCATGCGCCGTCCCAGCCCCTCCTTCCCCTGTGCGCCGTCCTCGTCACCGCCGCCATCTTACACGTTTCCGGGGGCAGTCTGAGCCCGCCCCTGCGCGCTACATCCCAGCGCTTGCCCCACCCACTGGGCGTGCTCTGCCGGAGCGCCGCGAAACAGCAGCTCAGCGGCTCTGCACAGGAATGCTTTTTTTACAATTTGGCTCCACTCAAAAGATGCTTTTTTATTACAATTCTCAAACCATTTAATCAAGGTTATTGGCCACCTGATAATTTTACCAGCCTTGCTTATCAATCAAAGCCTTCACCAATCTCCTGTTTAACAACTAAGGTAATAAATTCCTTTTTGCTGGGAACCACTAGCTGTCTTTCAAGACAAGGGTTTTCTTTAAAGTTTTATTTTATTTGTCTTGGTTCATACTACTGCAAATAACAACTTTAAAAATAAATGTGTTCAAAATTTGACAGTATTAGATCAGTTTTGATTTATTCATAAGATTGCTAAACCTTTACTGCAAAATGTTTCCATTAAAGCCTTGTTTGGCAGACTAAAGCTTTGTTAATTCTACATGTCACCCTATAAAAAAAAGCGATATGCCATCCAGATAAAGCCTGCTCTCTAATCCAAAATGCCAATATTAAATTCCTGCATGCTTACTTAATTCTACTATAGTCCAAATCCCAAACAAAAAGGCAAAACTTGACCTTCAAACCTTAGAGAGATCTTAATATGGTTTTTTATATTTTTAACACTTGTGACACTTGGAGTTCTGAGACAGGTAAACCTACACAAGGTGGAGCTGCCTGCCCCCTCCATGGACCACGCTCAAATGCAGCAGAAGATACTGGGCAAGAAAATGCCCCACCCTGGCATTCTTTGAGACCTTACTCCAGGGCTACTGGACTGTCCTAGCCACCAGAGAGTGGGTAAGCCATCCTAAGTTCTAGCCCTCATAGGAAATGTCGACACTGCCAGATTCATCACCGACAGAAAATCGCTGCTGAAGACTGAGGAAGTTCAGGGCAACAACAGCCCCCTTTAAGGTGTCCGTCTCAGATTCCAAGTCGCACAAAACTCTCAGGTAAGACATTCTCTATATTTGTGGACATAGAGGCCATATATACAGAGTTCTTCCTGAGTTTTCAGGCTGCTATATTAAGTCCTCAGTCTCTATGATGGGGTATTGATGGTCAACCTATGTCATTTACAAACAGGGCCTATTTTGTGCAGGTCCCAGTCTTCTCACTTGGTTTATACTTTTTCAGGATACATAAAAGCCTTTCTCATACTTGCTAAAGTTCTGTTACAGCAAATCATTCCAAGGACTACAACCAGGTTACAGTGACCCATGCCTAAATCAAAGTTGCTAGACTGCCATCCTGGTTTCACATCACTCAGGCTAAGAGGTGCCCTCCCAGCCCTAAATCTGATCATTCTGAGTGGTCATCTCATCTTCTGTCTCCTACCTGTCTCCGTCTCACAAAGGCCTCGCAGCCACAGTTAACAGGCTAAGTCATGTTTTGTTATCCACTTTGGTTCCTAATTTCTTACATTCTATTAATGATCATTTTTACAGCAGGACTCTTTAGCAGTATTGCCTACAGACTCCAACATCATGCATACCAGAGACAAGCCTTACCAACCTACCGTCTTAACTTTTATGCTTTCAGATGGGGGAGTAATCACCTCTCATAACTCCACTCCTCCTAACCCCACGTTTAATTTTCAGAATTCTGCCTCACCGTGGAAATGTTTCTACCTCAACATGGTCCTGATAGAATGATATGTCTAAATCAAAGGCACCTTTCCCTTTACCTCACCTGGGTCCTTAAATATGACAGTGCCATGTCTCCTCATAACATCTTGTCTCTTTGTTTTTCCAGTCTGACATACGTGCATTCACCAGTGAAGCTGTCCTGGCCAAAACACCTGGTACCAGCGTCTACCTGGGCATCAACCTTCATCCCGTCAACTCCCCTAGGCTCCAGTACAGCGCCCTTTGCCAGCAGGAAGTAGTTAAAGAGAGAAAGCTTTGCCCCTTTTCATAATAACCATAAGACGGGATATGAAAGGTTTGGCCCAGACAGGACACTGTAGCCAGGAAAGCCACAACCGGAAGCAGGAAGCCCCATCTTGCCCTGCCCCTAGGAAGTTACCTGTGACGCCATCTTCCCGCCCCTGGGAATTTACATATGGCGCCAAACCTAGGACCAATGGGCTACCTGTGTATCCCTAATGCCCGCCTTAGGTTCCACCCCAAACCGAGGTTATTTACAGGCCCCCACGCCGCGTGTCTGCCGGAGAGATCGCCGGACGCCAGCGGTGGGGGTTGCCAGTCATCTCTCTCCGTGTTCTCAGAATAAAGGCCGCTTTTTATTTTATATTTCTCATCTTTTGTTAATATTTTTCATCTTTTGGAAGTAACTCTATCAGTTTTCACCTACAATTCTGATTTTTTCATATCAAGTGGCCTTTGGATGCATTAAAGTTTATCATACAAGTGACAGAGATGTGGGCACTTTCTTCAGTTTTGCAACCAAAGCAAATGCCTCACTGGCTTCATCCTAGGCTGTCCCAAATACCAGGGCCTCAAAGGACATGGAGGATTTTATGAAAGTGAGAGGCAGTTTCACTGTGAATTGCAGATCATCCCTGAGAACAATGTGATCCATGTGGAAAAACTCAGGGCTTCTAGTCACCACCAGTGATGAAAGACTCTCATGGTTAAAGTCCTCAACATTCAGGTCCAGCTCTCAAAAGAGAAAAAGCTACACCAGACTCTCACCTGGGTCGTAGTCAAAATGGGGAACGAACTGAAGCCTGATTACCAAGGGAAATAGCAACTGTGCAATGAAATAATGAGTCATGAGGCCATGAGCAGGAGAAGAATTCAGCAATCTCAGGGTCATAAACCAGACCCAGAGAAGAGGCATTTGTGAGAAAAGGACACCCAATAGGACACAAGGTTAGACAGCAGAGAGCAGGCAGGGCTGATCACATTGTATCGCCTTGCAGAAATGAGAAAAATCTCAAATCTGGGACTGCAGGTACAGCTCAGTTGCATAGTGCTTCACTAGAATTTGGAGGTGCTGGGTCAGTCTTAAACATCCACAAGAAAACAGACAGAAGAAAACTTCCATCCTCATCCATCATGAGACCATACTCATCTCAATCTGTGGACATCAATGGGACATGAGGAGTGTTCAGACTTCACCAAATTTCAATCACAGCAGCCAAGGATGTGCCTAACCAGGGGGCCTAGGAGCTATGACAGTAAGTCAGGACAAAAAAGAGAAACTAATGAATACTTTAAGGACAGACTGGACTTGATGTGCATTTCTCTTTGTTTTGGAATAAAGAATTTTTATTATTATTTCACGTTTAACGTGAGAGATGGATCATTCCTACATTCAAATGAAAAATCATAGCATGGGGAAAATTCCCTGACTTACACAGAATGGCTAAGATGAAGAACTGAGGGTCTCATTCTGGATCTGAAGTGATGGCCGTGCCTCCTCCACAGGGAAGAAAACCTCTGAGCAGAGAAGCACACAGTCCAGCCTTAACAGGATAGTGAAAATTTTTGGTTGAAAATGAAGACCTCAGCACCGTATTGCTCTACTTTGCTCTCAGACAGCAGCAGGATCTGCAGAGCCCCACAACAAAGGTGAGTCAGCAAGAGGGTGACATCCTCAAGGCCAGCTGCTAGGAAGCCAACTGCTGGGTCCACTGGGTAGATTGCATACCAGAGCCTGAGGCCAGACTCAAGCATCTCCATTTAACACTGTGTATGCAGAATTACCATCTGTACAAGAAAGGATCATACAATCCTCATTTTTGAATTTTAATGAAACTTTAAATGAAAATATTACCCAACTCAGTACTTAACAGCTCCCATGAAAGTCCCCAAAACAAAAGATCTTCAACATTTGTACAAGAAAAAAAGTTAGCCATAGAGAATAACAGTTCCCTTAGATAATAATTGCACAAATCAATACATTATTTTCCTCGTATGGGCTTCCATAATGCTCAGTGCTACAGCAGAGCCACAGTCACAGAACTTTTTCCTTTTTAAGACAGGATGATATGGATAAATTTTACATTTATAAAAAGCCACATTTCTAGTATACAATACTATTGATTTTGACACATGTGTAACTGTGTGTCGAAAAACATATTCTGGCTCTAAGTTAGGACCAGTAAGTACCCATTGGCTTTCCAGGGTGCACTCTGTTCACCCACAACAAACTCACCTGAGACTCACTGCTGCCTGCACCCTGCATAAATGCTCTAGATGTCTCAGATACTCATAGAGAACTTTCCTTCAATGTGAACACCACAAACTATTTAAATTGCTGTGTTTTCTAGGGAACACATTTGTTTTTAATTTTGGATAAAGTATATCAGTCATTCCTGCTGTCATAATTCCATAGATAGCTCCTTTGGAGGTGAGGATCTCACCTTGGTGCATCCCATTGTATCTTTACACCACACTGAAAACATCATCATGGGCTCTCCATGGTGCCACTCAATATGTCTGTTCTCCTGGTACACACTAAGCAAGCAAACAATGGCCACTTTATAGAAAAAACAACTTTAAAACCCACTGTCTTCGCTGTCTTAGAACAGACAATGCTGATTTGCAATTGAAAATGGATGCATAAATGGAACCAGCTAGCTCATTATTCCCACAGGGGAACAAAGTTTTCCTCCTTAACAATGGAATATTTTTAATTAACTGATGTTGAAAAAATGCAAAGCAGAATCTCTGTAACACAAAATCTTACCCTTCTTTCCTGTGGACTGAAGTTTCTCAGTACTGACATCTGGACAGCACACAGGGAGGCCACACACAGAGGTATGACCTGGAGAGGGGCCAGGAGGAAATGTTGGGAGTAAGAATATGAGGGACACAGGCTCTGGGACACCTCTAGGACTTTAAAAGGACAGATTCCCTCCTGGATCCTCCAGAGTGAATGCATCCTGACAGCATCCTGGCTCTATCACACTGAACACTGAGTTGGACTTCTGACCTGCAGAAGTGTAACATGATGACTTTTGCATGTTCAAGAAGTGAATTCATGTGAAATCTTTCTGTAGAAATGGAAAAGTAATGTGGATGTCTTTACTTAGTTTTTCTGTAAGAATCTTTCATAATAAAGTATGTAAGGCACACCAGTCCATTTAATTTTCTGCTAAACCTTGTCACCATTCTTATCAGAAGGAATGGGATACAGTTTTTAGGTAGATGGAGAGAGTGCACCTCCCATGTCACATGGCCAGCAAACAGCAGGATAGACACTAAAATGAGTTCAAGATGCTCCAGGATGAATCAAACGGGGAGAATGACTACAACACTGGTTGCAGACATTATGTTATGTCTTCAGCTTATAAGCTGCTGTTAGTAGCAGTGAAATGTCTTCCAAACCCATGGTGACTGAACTGGTGAGTTAACCACAGACCCTTGGGTGTCTGTACAGTGAGTGAGCAGTTTCTGATGGAATGAGGATATGTAGCTGACCTGTTTGAACCTAGCCTGGGCTGCACAGTGAACTCAAGGCCAGGACGAACTACAAAGTGTGATTGTGTCTCAAAATTCCCCAAATTAAGAAAGATTTCAAAGGAATTACCCCCCTAAGAACAATTTTAATTAATCTAGTACATTGGAATGTACATATATGCATTTATATATAGCCATATATATATATATATATATATATATATATATATATATATACATTTATAGATACATATTCCTTCATGTCTGTGTACAAAGATACGGATTAACATGTAAAAACATATAGAGAGATGTATTTCTATACAAACATATGTTTATAGTATACCCATTTACATGTTAATATCTGTTCGTATTCATATTAACATCTCTCTGTGGAGATAAGTAAGACAGGATATTCATCAATTAAACTACTGCCTGGGAATTATGTATTGATTACCTAATGCACAATCATTGTCTCTTTCTCCACTTGCCTTCAACAGGACACCTAATTCTCTATCTGAAACAGAAATTTTTTTTTATATTCCTGGAAAATTCTGTTGACAGCAGTGCCCCATGGTGTGTAACCCTTGTGCCCATGAAGACTAACATCTCAATAGTTCACCTCTAAACCACATTTGCCAGAAGCCCTCTCCAGGCTCCATGTTGTCACTAGCACAAAGCTGCTGTGCTGAGCAGTAACTGGAGGAGGCAGTGGTTTCCTTACTGGGGAAGAGCACTGAGGCACCATGCTGCAGTATGGACAGGGCCTTTAGAAATGGGATCCTTCCTCCTAGTGCTGGACAGCACATGGACTTTGCTCTTCTGATTTTCCCCAAATATAGAGATTTGAAGCAACTTTGCTCATGGGAGAGGCTTCCCATCCTGCCCTTTACTATGCCCACCAGGAGGCTTCCCTTCAAGTTCCAGATAAAAACTCAACCTGTCTTGATTCATCTGGACCCTCATTTCAGCATTTCAAAATGAGGCTCCCTGCTCATTTCCTGGAGCTGGTAATGCTCTGCATCCCTGGTAAGGATGGAGGGAGATGAGGATGGAGAATGAGTGAGTGGGATGGGGTCCCACTGTTACCTGTGTTGTTCTCTCCATGTGAGAGACTGCATCCTTCAGGAACAGGGTGAGAACAAGAGCTTGAGGTCTGTGTGAGTGAGGAAAATTCCACTGGAGTTGGAGCTATGGTGAGGTGATGATGTCACAATGAAAGAGAAGGATGATCCACATTAATTCTCAAGTGGGTGCAAATGTTGGATACTTTATTATAAGTGAACACTTTTTCCTATATATGAAAATCGCAAAAATAATTTAGCTTCAAATATGAAATAATGGAGACAATATGAAAATGAATCATCATGCCTGTACATGACCTTGTCTTTCTATCCAATGATTAAGGGTCCACAGGAGATATTCAGATGCCAAGACCCCACTCTCTCTCACTCTCTTTGGCACCCGGAGAACCAGGCTCCTTCTCCTCTAGTTCCAAACAGAGTCTTGAGCATAGTGATGGAATCATCTATTTGAGATAATGGTACATAAGCCATACCAGGCTCCACAAGGCATGATTTTTCAGGTTTTCAAAAAGCACTCTTCGGTCCTAGAAAGGTGCATTAGCAGCTTATCAAGAAACGATTTCACACTCAAAATCTGCAGAGGTCAGGGTGAGGAGGCTGGAGTTTATTACTGTTATCAAGGAATAGGATGTCCTCCCCCAGTGATGCAACCCTGAGAAAAATCCTCCCGGCCTGGAAGGTCCAGCTGGTCACCTGCAATGTTGGGCACACCAGAAGAGTTTATTAGTACAGCAGAGTGCAGAAAAGGCCTCTGTGCATGACTAAGTAGAAAATCAAAAGAGCATGGGGACCTATGTTCTGTGCAGACTCTGCCACATAAAGAGGATGTGGCTGACTTCCACAGGTTCCTTGAGCTTTGCAAATTCTATTCTTTTTTTTTTTTCAATTTGGATGTAAACCTGAGATGGTTAATAAGATGCAATTGGTGTATAACATTTGTACTCTATCTACCTTTTTTTGCTTATTGTGTAAGGTTCACTAGGGGATGAGGTGGTGTCAGTCTGGTTTACAGGTTGGGAGACCCAGCCTACTACTCAGGAAGGATCAGAGTTAAAGAGGTACCTTTTTCACTTTCAAGTATGGATCAGACCCAATTGCAATATGGAGGAAGGGTGCATCATGGAAGGCTAACACCAAGATTAGTAATGATCCTGGCCATGTATGCACTAGGCTGTATCACATGTTCCCCACCAATCCAGTGGGCACAACTGAACACCCAATTCATTTACGAATCTGACCTCATCAGAATGCAGGAGTGACTTGAAAACAGGAAATGACCCCTCATTTGTCACAGGAATGCCACAGAACCCACTAACATAACAAGATCCAAAGGGGCAAGAGAATTCTCAAGGAATATCTAACATGGATCAACAGTAGTTAGGGAATTTATGGTTATGTAAAGCTCTGTCTTTCCATCAGTACCCATCAAGATATGGAAATACAGTAAAAAATCAATTTAATTTAACAAATGTATCAACTGTAGAAATAAAAAAGGGTCAAAATAGTGCAGAGTGAACTAGAAACACATAAATTAATAAAGATGAATTTGATAATATAATAAGCTTAAAAGGGGACTGAAAAAATGATAAAATAAACAGCATAATACAACAATAAGAAAATGAGTCATAGAAATAAAAAAAGGACGAGAGATCAAAATACTGGACCACATTAAATATAAATAAATAAAGTTGGTAAAGGAAAACACAAAACAAAGCAGAGCAAGTGAAGCAAACTCTAGAATTCTCTTGCTGAGAAAGTTATATGACAGAAGTATTTTTCTAGGTTTTCTAAAAATGAATTAGTACTTATGTGAGGAGAGTGGTAGATCCCAGCCCAGGACAGGTGTGCTTCCCTCTCCAACAGCAGATTCTGCTGACAGGTGAGCTCTGCTATATCTTAGCCCCTAGGCATGACCAGGAAAGTGTGTGTGTGTGTGTGTGTATGTGTGTGCATGTGTATTTGTGTGTGTCCATTTCTGTTTGTCTGTGGGGGATGAGGTGTCACTTTGTAGGCCCAACCCCCTCTAACCTGCAATTTACAATAGCCGCCCTGGTATGCGAGAAGGAGGTAGAATAGGAATGCCTGTTCTCAGTGAGACCCCTCGCCCTCTGGAATCCATACTGTGAGCTGGCTTTGTTTTGCAGAAGTCTTGAGGAAGTGGCTGGCCACCCTTTGTGACACTAACAGCAGACAAATTAACAACATTCTTGAGCTAATGAATTTCTTCCTGGGCTAGAGAAGTTATGAGAACTGGTTGTGATTATTTACTTCACTTAGATAGTTTTAGAATAAACATTGTAGTCTGTCACGTTGTAGCTTGCCACAAAGAATGCCTTTTCACCACTTAATTATCTGGGCTCTGTGAACTGATCGGGTTTACTATATATGAATCCTAAAATAAAGATTGTGCGTGCAGTGCAGTGTAACGCGGTGCAGACAGTAAAGGTGTCTCTCCTGTCTTTCTTTTCCGAGCACTGTACCCCCCGTGTCCTGATCAGGCGTGTGTGCATGTTTACCTTGCCCGGAGTTCAGAGTGCTCTAAGACACTCACGACAAGTGGCGCCCGAATTCAGGGACTCCGAAGGTCGCTTAGGAAGGTAAGTATAATTTTATTACGGGGAAATGGGACAATCTGCTTCCTCTCCTTTCTTAAAAATTCTTAAACATTTATTATCTATATATGGCATATCGCTCAGGTCAGCTGACTTGGATATGTGTATTGATACAATTAAAGAATATAATCCTTGGTTTCCAGATGAAGGAACTTTGGATGTAGAAGTATGGAGGAAGGCAAGGGTTAGTATAGAAAGGGCTATGCAACAGGAGGAAAAGATTCCTTTACGTTTTTGGGCTATTTGGTCGGTTGTGTACTCTTTATTAAAAGCTATGGAAGATGAACATATTGTAGAAAATCTTCAACTAGAAATTAAGCCAGTTATTCAGGAATTGCCCCTCACAGAGGAGGAGCAAAATGTAGTTCAAAATGACGCTATCGCTTTAAGTAGTGAAAAGGCGTCCAAACTAAAAGTAAAATCCACTACAGCCGACTCAGCTTTAGCTGCCGCAGCAATATCAAATTATGACAATCGCCCAATTTTACAGGCTATACAGCATTTAACACAAGAGGTGAAACAACTCTCCATTAAGCAGAACCCGCCTGTAGTTCCCTCTGCACCTCCTCCATCTAACCCTAATTGGAGTAAAGCCAAGCTAGCTTTGGCTGATCTACCAAAATTAGGGGATTCTGATGAGGAAAAGCCTGCCTTTGCTTTCCCTGTAATCAGGCCGCAGCCAATAGATGGAGCGGCAGTTCCCCCTAGATGGGAAGCATTTAATATAGATGATTTAGCAAAATTAAAAAAGGCTGTAACCCTTTATGGCCCTCAGGCTCATTACACTAAAGAATTAATAACGTCGGTAGCAGATCAGTATGGTAATCTTGCTCCTTATGATTGGAAGGCCTTGGCCAAAATTCTTTTAAAGGAGCCAGAATATTTACAGTGGCACATGTGGTTTATGGAAGGTTGTGCGGAAAAGGCAAGACAAAATGCTGACGATCGAGATCCTAATATTAGACTCATTTCTTATCCCATGCTCTCTGGTACAGGTTTCTTTGATACTGTTGAGCATCAGGCAGGAGCTCCAAGAGAGATTCATGCTCAATTAAAAGATATTGCTTTAAAAGCTTGGGATAAAATACGGTCTAAAGGATCAGAATATGGATCTTGGGCTAAAGTTCTGCAAGGAGCCAATGAACCGTATGTTGAGTTCGTTGCAAGACTTCAAAATGTTATAGAAAAAACAGTAGTGGGACAAGACTTACAAGAGCATCTCTTAAAAATGTTAGCTTTTGAAAATGCTAATGATGAATGCAAAAGGGCTTTAATTCCAATAAAAGATACTGGAACGATTGACAATTTTATAAAACAATGTAAAGATTTAAATTCAGAATCTAGGAAAATGCAACTGTTTGCTGAAACCATGGCAACCACGTGGACTAATTGGCAATCTAAAAAGGAACAGTCTTTAAAATGCTTTAATTGTGGTCAGACAGGACATGTAAAGAGGGCCTGTCCAAAACTTGTAGGCAATGATCAAAAAAAGAGATCTAGAGCTCCTGGCTTATGTCCAAAATGCAAGAAGGGAAATCATTGGGCTCGTGAATGCAGGAGTAAACAAGTTAATTCAGCTGAACAGAAGGGAAACGGGAGAGCGGGCCCTACCCCGGGCCCCGGACAAATCAATGGGGTAAATCTACCGTATTCTCCCTACAGCCAGCCACCCAACACAGCGCCGCAGTGGACATACCAGCCTTAAAAGATGTAGAATTAAGAGGAGGACAATCTCCCGTGAGAATTCCTACAGGAATTTTTGGTCCCCTGCCTGCGGGAACTTTTGGCTTGCTCACGGGTAGATCTAGTTTAAATCAAAAAGGCATTACGGTTCACTTAAGAATTATAGATGCAGATTATACTGGAGAAATTCAAATTCTGATGTCCTCACTTACAGATTATAAATTATTAAAGGGAGAACGTATAGCTCAACTCATTTCAACCCTCGAGGAACTCAACCTAATGAGTTATGGCAAATGGATATTACACATGTACCTTCTTTTGGTCGGCTTTCTTATGTACATGTAGTTATTGATACCTATTCTTCATTTCTATGGGCTACTGCTCAACAGGGAGAATCCACTAAAAATGTTATTGTACATTTATTGGAGACTTTTGCAGTTATGGGAATTCCTTCTAAAATCAAAACAGATAATGGACCTGCTTATACTAGCAGAACATTTAAACAATTTTGTGATCTCCATAATATTATTCATATTACAGAGATTAAATATAACCCCCAGGGTCAAGCTATTGTTAAAAGAGCACATGGCACTCTTAAGTTGCAAATTAAAAAATTAAAAAGGAGGAGTCAGGAGGATATTCAGATACCAATACTGTTTAAATTGCAAAACAGTCCAAAAACATTACTGCATCAAGCATTGTTTATTTTAAATTTTCTCAATTTACCACAAGGTGAAATATTAACAAGAGCTGAAAGACATTTCGAACAGCAACAACAGCCCTTTGTGATTAATGAACCTATTTGGACTAAAACAGCTCCAGAGGCTGAATGGGAGAAGGGCACACTGCTCTATAAGGGGAAAGGTTTTGGTTATATCTCCACAGAAAATGGAATTCAGCAGTGGGTCCCTGGACGATGGATCAGGATCCGCGCCTCCAGACCCTGTTCGCCAGCCCCGGAGACAACTCCCCAAGGAACCGGAACCGTGCCTTCAGAAGCGAGCGCGAAACCAGCTAGAGGCTAAAGATGCTGAGCTTGTTCCTATCGCAGCCATGGCCAGATTACAGCTAAGAAAATCCCGCCGCTCACAGCGACCAAATTTAAATCCCCTCCCTACATGGGGACAATTAAAGAAATTGACCATAGAAGGGCAACGGCTTGTCCTTCAAGCAGGAAAGCCTTTAAACCCTGAAAACTTGTTTTTAGCTTTATGTGCCTTGCTCACCGTTGCATCGGGGACTGAGGTACCTCCACATTCGTACTGGGCATATATTCCAAATCCCCCTTTATTAGAACCTGTAAAATGGGGAACTAGTGATATTTTACTTTATACCACACCTAGAGAAATTTTGTCAGCACCGTGGGCTGATTTAACCCCCCACAATCAAGATGATGGGACATTATTCAATTTTACTTATTATGGTAATCAAAGGCCTATTTGCATTGGGGAACCGCCTTGCATCCCTCTGGGATGGCAGTATTGGATTCAACATGGAATAAAAGCAGGCAACAAAAGGACAAGGCTTCAAGCCTTGGCTGCTCAAACCTTTAATGTTACCTGGAGAAATTTAACAGCACCTGACATAAATACATTTCCTGTATGCCCTGAATTCACTTATAAAAATATTTCTTATAATCCCATAATTTGGCAACTATGTATGGGAAAATTTGCTAAAAATATTGATGGGTATATTATTTGGGGACCATTTGGAAAATTCGTTAATGGATGTGCTGAATGGAATGAGACAAGATGTAATCTCTCTGTTGTGTATAGTCTTCCAGATCCAAAGAAAATAACTGACGGAGCTCCTATATTTCCTCAGAAGACGTCTCTTTTGTGGTGGGGAGATGGTGGAATCGCAACCCTGCTGTTGCAGCCGAAGAATACCCTCATCACCTTCAAAATCATATTTGGAAGATTCCAGCCGCTATGCAACCTGTAACCTTGTACAATGTTTCCTATTCAGGGACTAGTCGATCTGTATCTACTACTTATAATTTTACTAGGTTTAAAATGTATAATATTACTGTTTGTGCACCTCTGCCTTATGTCTTTTTAGTGGGAACTTTTAATTTTACACATTTTTCTTGTACTTGTTTAAATTGTCAATTGTTTACATGCTTAAATAGCACACTAAATTTCACTAAGCCTTATACAGTTATGCTGTTACAACAAAAAACTCATATTTGGTTGCCTGTAAATTTAACTCGACCATGGTCTCAAGACCCAGTAATTTCTGTTACTACTGAATTTTTTAAACATCTGTTAAAACGTACAAAAAGATTTATTGGAATAGTGGTTGCTGTACTGTTAAGTCTGATAACTGTAGCCTCCCTAGCAGCAGTCTCAGGAATAGCTTTACAAACCTCTTTGCAAGAAAAACATGTTGTAGAATTATGGCATGAGAATTCTCATGAACTTTGGTTAACTCAGTGGCAAATAAACGCCAAACTACAACAACAAATAGACCTCCTTAAACAAACAGTTGAATGGATGGGTAGAAAAATATTGGCTCTTCAGCATCAAGTGTTTTTAAAATGTGATTGGAATTCAACTACTTTCTGTATAACCCAACGACCTTATAATCAAACAGAACATGAATGGGAAGTGATTAGAATGTATCTAAATGGAAACACCTCTGCCCAGGAGGAAATAGAATCTTTGCATAATCAAATTGACAAGGATTTTGCAAAGCAAAATGATGATGAATCCCTGGCACAATTCGCGCAATTGCTTGCTCAATCTTTGAAAGGATTAGATTCCAAAGGAATCTGGCAGAGCATAACCCACACTTTAAGTGGCATGGGACTTAGTTTAATTATAGTTCTCATTGCCATAGTTCTTGTGTATTTTTACTGCATAAGACGAAATACTATTAATAACCTGATCTTATGGAAATTATTGTTAAAAAATAAAAAGGAAGGAAGTGTGGGGGATGAGGTCACTTTGTAGGCCCAACCCCCTCTAACCTGCAATTTACAATAGCCGCCCTGGTATGCGAGAAGGAGGTAGAATAGGAATGCCTGTTCTCAGTGAGACCCCTCGCCCTCTGGAATCCATACTGTGAGCTGGCTTTGTTTTGCAGAAGTCTTGAGGAAGTGGCTGGCCACCCTTTGTGACACTAACAGCAGACAAATTAACAACATTCTTGAGCTAATGAATTTCTTCCTGGGCTAGAGAAGTTATGAGAACTGGTTGTGATTATTTACTTCACTTAGATAGTTTTAGAATAAACATTGTAGTCTGTCACGTTGTAGCTTGCCACAAAGAATGCCTTTTCACCACTTAATTATCTGGGCTCTGTGAACTGATCGGGTTTACTATATATGAATCCTAAAATAAAGATTGTGCGTGCAGTGCAGTGTAACGCGGTGCAGACAGTAAAGGTGTCTCTCCTGTCTTTCTTTTCCGAGCACTGTACCCCCCGTGTCCCGATCAGGCGTGTGTGCGTGTTTACCTTGCCCGGAGTTCAGAGTGCTCTAAGACACTCACGACATTTGTCTATGTGCATGTGCTTATGTGCATGGAGCTGCTACCCCTGCACCTAGCCTTGGAGCCTGCTGGCCAGATAGGCACATGTGGGGCACATGTATTCACTCTGCACTTTCAGAGATGGAGCTGAGGTCCATCTGAGGTCACATCTGTAAATGTGTTACAAACTAGAGGAAAAGAATTGACCACTGACTCCTACACTACAAGAGGCAGCAGATGAAAGGAACCATCTGCCACATGGTCTTACTCTCACTGTATTCAAAACCACACCCCTCAGCCAGCCAAATGCGATGGGTCTACTGATCTCCATACAAGGCAGGGTCCTCCACAAGAGGAGTGACAACCACTTCAACTCTGAGCAAGCATGAGGGTGATCTTTCCCCTCTCCACAAGTGTCTCATGAGGCCACCTCCAAACAGGTACTGCAGGATGGGGCGCTTTGGGTCCACTCTGTTTTCTGAAGTCCACAATAGTTCACTGTCAAGTATTGGGACTTTCCTAAGATACCCCAGGTTACATCATCACTCCTGGATATTACAAGAGTTACAATGAATTTCTACTAAAAAATTCACAATTCTGCAGAAGCTCTCACTTGCAGAATAAATTCCTTACCTGAGATTCAAATTTAGAAGAGTAACTGGTTTCTCCTTAGACATGTGCAATGCATTGGGAATGTGGCTGATACAGAATCAAAATATCACAGAAAATGTATTTGTGTGACAAAAACAGATACAAAGGACAAACTAGAAGCTCTAAAGCCAACTGGGGAACTCGCCAGTTACAGCTACTAGGCGTGATGCAGAGAGCTTTAGTTGCAAGTAAAACATCCATCTAAAGAGGCTGAGGCTACACAGCGACACCCCGGCTACCTCAGATCCACAATCCTCGTGAAATAATAAAACAGGGCACAGAAAGCACACAAAAGAGAGAACTGAAAAAAGGGAGTGGGAGGACAAGTGAAGAAAGAAAGCAGGAGGAAGAGGCAGGAGAGGGGAGAGAAGAGGAAAGACAAAAGGGAAAAATTTGGACTCATTTTTAAATTTTGTCACCAAACCTGCCTGAGCACCTGTCACATTCATCTGGAAAGTATTGAAGAGAACAGCAAACAGGAGCTCTGGTCTCCCCCTGGGCATGAGCCACACAGCAGAAGCCTGAGCCAGAACTCGCTTTGTGCAGACTCCTAGGGGCCTAAACTAAACTGGCTCACAAGTGCTCTCTGTGGGTGAAGTGTACAGCAGAGGGGGAATAGAAATTACCATTCCCACAGGAATGAACTGATGAACTGAAAAGAGGGCTCAAAGTACCCTAGGAAATGAGATTTAAAAAAACAAGATTTCCTTGAAAGTAATGAGTACAGACCAATATGAGCTAATATCTGTATTTCAAAAATGTCTGCTTCAGAAAGATTGGGAATTTTAACCTTGAGTGTGGTATATGAAGTGCAAAATGAAACCCTGTTTGGAGGAGGATACAGCAATACAAAATCCTCAAGAATGCTCACAGCTGCTATGTAAAGAGCCATAGATTACAAAGTCAGCTATGCTAGGTACTAAAACTCATATAGATAGGTAACTATCACTGGAAATATCAGACAGCAAAGGGCTCTTCCAATTCTTCTGATCTGGTTCCTAGGATAAGATATTTAGGAAATAAATTTTAAACTTCATATTATTTAAGAAGTAAAGGAAACCAAGGAAAAATAAACCACTAATCAGCTGTAGAAAATTGACATCCCAATACATTTTATACACACTATAAAAGCACTGACATCATCCTCATAATTAAGCCACAAATATTCACAACTCAATTTGTGGTTTATTAATCGATTTAATCAGTGTAATATCACCATTAATTTTGCTTTCAGAAGATTATTGCTATAATTCTATTCTTAGCAATGAAATATTAAAACAAATTATTATACCCTGATATGAGTCTCACCCAAGATGCTCATTCACTTCAATACAACACAGCCAAACAGCATGTGGTTTTTAAAGCCTCCTTTATTTACAAGGACAAGAATATGAAACCTGGCCCAATGTGTCTGAGTCGGACGCTAACAATTCCTGGTCTCCTCCCACTGTGTGTTAAGCTTTAGAACTTTGTCATGTGTCTGATCCAATGAGCTGAAATTTTTTTTCATTTCATTCCTACTGATCCTGGTGAGACAGATGAGGAACAGGGCCTAAGGAGTCCAGATAGGACCAAAAAATGAATGTTTCAACTTCTCAGACTTTTTGGTAGGCACCCACATATTCAGAAGACAGTCACCCAATACAGATAGTGAGCAACAGTCAGCCCAGAACAGTGAGGCTGAGTCAGAAGGATGGACAGGTGGGGCAGAAACTGGGCAGGTGAACAATGCTGAGACACAGTCTCAAAATCAGAGAAATACAAAGGACTGGCGATACACCTCAGTGTGAATGTCATAGGTTTAAGCCCCAACACACACGCACACCCGATAAGTACAAACAGTGTCCCTTATTTACAATAAAAGCACACATGATAGCATCCTTATTTACTAATTTTGCCACAAATATTCCTTCCCAAATCTGTGAGAGGCACACGGCAGCTTTGGGCTGCAATAAAAAATCACACGAATTTACAGACCAATGATAGCTTGGCTTAACTCTCTCCCATCTCAGATAAACTCCAGGACCATAGCAGCCTTTGGTTCAAACTACACTGAGGCTTTAAACCCTGGATTCAGTGGGGACATCTGACATTGAGAATGTCTCTTTAAACTGTGGAGCATGACTACACAGTATTTATTAAAACAAAAATTAGCTATGAAAAGCTTGCTTTATGATAGTTCAGAAAAAACTAGCATCAATCATTTCTCCTTTAGTATAAAACCAAGAGAAATCTTTGCCTAAAAAATAAAACTGCTGTGTGTGTCTGTCTGTGTGTGTGTGTGTGTGTGTGTGTCTGCAAGACAAGCTTGAACAGATATTGACCAATTTGAAAATCTAGTCACAAGGAATTTCATATCCGCCTATATAAGTCGTATTGTATAAGATAGAGCATATTATATAAGACAGAGTTACTGGTTTCCAATTTGAATACAGATGTTTTTCTCTGTATCATATACTTTTGATTTTAGTGCTACTATGTCATTTAATTCCTGTTTCAAGGAAAAGATTATTTCTAATACTTGTTTCTAAGATGATGAATGTTGCCTGGTTATAAAAAAAGGTCTTCTCATCACTACTAAATGGTGTTAATGCTAGAAAATGCTAAAAAAATGAATTCTGATAAACTTACAATTGCTGCTTCCTTTTCCATAAGGCTAAGAAACATGAGCACTCCCCTCCCAGAGACTGATCTACACAAACCCCTGTATCATGGGAACTGAAGTCCTCTCTGGGATGGGCAGAGTCATGAGCACTGTGTCTATGCTGCAGAATCAGATTTTCCCAGAGATCTTTGTACCCATTGCTGCATACAGAATGGATTGTAGCTCTATTGCTTTCCCCCAAATGCAGCAGACATTTTATACCACTGGGCTCCCATGAGAAGCCTCCCACCATGCTCTTCACTCTCTGCACCACTGCACCCACCTGGGAATTTGCATTTTGTTCCCAAGGGAGGACCTTCCCAATTGAGTCTCAAATAAAAGCTAGATTTATGGTGGCCCTGCCTGATCAGGAATCTTCAGTTCAATTTCTCGAAATAAGGCTCCCTCTTCAGGTCCTAGGGCTGCTATTACTCTGGATCAATGGTAAGAACACTGGGAGATGAGGCGGACTCAGTCTGAGAGGGTGACTTTCAGGGTCCCACTCCACCTGATCAGTCCTGTCCATACATGAGATGTGCAGTCCTGAGTTGAAGCGTGGGTGTGGGAGGTTATATCAATGGGTGAAGAAAATTCCTGAGGCACTCAATAACTGCCCTTTGATGAAGATTGCCGCAAAAAGAAAGAGAGAGGTGCTGAGATGAATTCTAGAGGGGTTCTTGTAATTAGAAACCTTGAACACAATCTCAAATTTGAAAATCTTTCATTGTACATTACATTAAAGATACTAATTTCACTTGATAGTGACAAAATACAGAAATCTATCAAAATGGCTTATGATGTTGGCTCCTGACACTGCACTTCTCCTTCATCATTTTAGGATCCACAGGAGATGTAGTGATGACCCAGACTCCGCTCTCCCTATCTGTCTCCCCTAGAGAGCCAGCCTCCATCTCCTGCAGGTCCAGTCAGAGCCTCCTGTATAGTGATGGAGACACTTATTTGCACTGGTTGGTGCACAAGCCTGGCCAGGCTCCAAGGGCTATGATTTATGAGGTTTCTGAAAAGTACTCTTGGACCCCAGAGAGGTTCACTGGCAGTGGGTCAGGAACAGATTTCACACTCAAAATCAGCAGGATGGAGGCTGAGGATGCTGGAGTTTATTATTGTGTGCAAAATACACATGACCCTCCCACAGTGCTATAGCCCTGAACACAAACCTCTCTGCCTGCGGAGGCCCAGCTGTCCTCCTGCACTGCTGTCTGGGGAGCAGCACATCACAGCCTGCTCTGTGTGAGAGGAAGAGGTTGATGAATCAGAAAAACAAGTTGCAGCTGAGGACTCTGCCTGGGAGAGAGATTGAGGAAGGAGCAGAGCAGCAAGGCCCTGTGTCATGGAAGAGAGAGAGAAGAAAATCTCCACTGCGAGGTCTTCCTTGTGCACACCCTTGACCCAACAAAGGCTGTAATGAAAAGTAGGGAGATAGTTGACTGTATTTTAAAGGCAAAACAAAAGAACTTCATTGTCTTTGTGGATGTGTTGTGTAATAAAAAGGTAAAAAGTCATGATAAGTGTTCCACAGGTTTGAATCTCTGCAATTGGAGAATTTGAAACCATATGTTGTGAGACCAGGGAGTTGAAGGGAAGCAGCAAGGAGAGCA